TGGCCTACCCGCCGCCCCACCCGCGGGGTACAAGCCTCGTGGGTGATTGTACCCGCGGGCGGAACTACGGGTGGAGGTCCACCCGTGGCCCCACCCGCGGGGTACACTGTTGGTTGTCGGCGGAGATTTGTTCCCCGTGATTCTTTTGACTCGGTAATTGATGTTTTGACCTCCCGATGTTGTTTTATTGGGCTATTTGAGTGTCTTCTTGATGTTTCGTATGTCTAGAATGGTATGTTAGGAATCCATGTAGGATTTGGTGTCTTGAGTCGTGCTAAGTGTCAAACTTTGTGATTCGTTGGACTATGATGAGTCTTGTATGTTCTATGGAACTACTTTTGGTTTACCCATTTGATAAGCATGCTAGTTTGATGATGAAATGCTAGTGTGTACGGTTTGTTCTTTCCTGTTGAGATTGGCAACTTGTGTTGACCATCGTTGGTGTCGGATTGTAATCCTTTCTTGTTGAGTACGGTTTCATATCTTTGCTGTGATCCATTGATTGATTCCGGTGATGAAAATGTGTGTACTTGTGGTGCCTTGATTGCACGATTAAGGGTATGAGACCTTAATCTCCAAGGTACCAATGTGTTTCTTGTGTGGCTATGATTGCAATTGGTGGTGTGACCTGAGCTTTGCTCATATGTTGGAGATTGTGTGAATGAAATGAATGGTACCCTCATGTACACATATGTCGGAGACTTTGTTGGAGATTGTTGGAGTGGGGACGACGGTCCCTGGCGGTATAAGGTTGGACTAGGGGTGTAAACGAGCCGAGCCGAGCTTGAGCCTGGGTAGGCTCGAGCTCGAGCTCGTTAATGGAGGCTCGGCTTGAGTTCGAGCTCGAGCTCGATCGAGCTTGAGAACTGATGCTCGAGCACGGCTTAAGCAGCTCGATTGTTCGAGTTCGAACTCGAGCTCGATCTTGAGCTTGAGTTCGAGCTCGATTTTGACATTAAATTTGACCTATTTAATACTTTTGATTTAAAATTCAAACTACTTTGATTTATCCATACATAAATAATACAAAATCTTTTAAGGATTTTGAGTCTAAAATTTTAATTTCTAATTGTTATTTTATATATTATTTATATTATATTATGTATTATATATATTATATATTATATGGCTCGCGAGCAGCTCGACGAGCCACGAGCCTAAAATATCTAGGCTCGGCTCGAGCTCGATTACTAAACGGGCCGCTCGAGCTCGACTCGAGATCGATTTTGATCGAGCTCGAACCGAGCTTTGACCCAGCAGCTCGCAAGCGGCTCGCGAGATGCTCGGCTCATTTACACCCCTAGGTTGGACTCAGAAGTACAGGGTGACACTCGGAGGTAATGGTTGGAACTGTAATAAGGCCGGGGGTAGCCATAAGGTTGGAACTGTGTGAATCTTGTGACATGTAGTTGTCACTGTGGCATGTAGTTGCCAGTGTGTGAATGTGTATTCTTGGTTATGAGTGTGTCATGATGTATTCTACTTTGTGATCAGTAGAATACATCTCGAGTTGTATCTGTTACAGTTGTTAATCTTGTCTTGGGATGTTGATTTCCCCTTTTTCCTTTGAGAGTGTGAAAGAGTCTTTGAAGTTGACTTCTCTCTTGACTTTTGAAATGATATATACTGTATTCCGTTTTGAAAATGGTTTTGATTTATACTATCTATATATTCTATTTAACGCGTATTGATGAGTTACCAGCAATGTTCGCTGACCGAGCGTCGTCCCCTTTCTTTATGTTGCTTTACAGGTCTTGAGTAGCTTTTGGAGTGCGCACTAGCTGTTGTTAGATAGTGTAGCTCCCTTGACTGTTTTAGTTAGAGTTTTGGGCCTGTGAGCCATGAATTGTTATGATCATGACTTGCATTTTCGTTAGATTTAGCCTGTGCACCTATAGATGTATAGGTGTGGCATGACATCTCCCGTATTTTGTCTTTTGCTTCCGCGTTACTTTAATCTCGATGAGTAGACTTTGTCTCTTTACTAAGCTTTAAATGTTTTTGAAAATTGTGAAAATCGGGGGTGTTACAGGTTAGCTACCATCTCTGGCAACGGGGATAAGTTTCCCATGTTGCCCACAAGTCACAAGTAACCAAACGGCAATCCGGAGCTTCACTACCGGTCCGTTCACACATAAGTCCCCACACTGTCCACTTTACCAGCTCAATCATCTCTTCACATCAATCCATCATCCCAACAATTGTCAATACACATGGAATCTAGAGATACAACAACACCTAGATTCCACACAAAGTGTGTACAACAACGGATAAGCTCAACAATAGCTTAATGAAGGAATAATTATACTCACGGGATCACATCAAGGGATTCAATCAAGGGGTTTCAATGAAGAACATGAAACGATACTCAACAACAACAATGGACCTCAATCCAATATCAACATGATTGGCAACACGAGTTGCCAATCCTCAATAGAAAGAGACAAACAACACATACTAGCATCAATGATACCAAGACTAGCATGCATATCAAACTGGTAAACCAAAATAGTTCCAATGAACCACAGAGACTCAACATCAATCCAACGAATCACATGGTTGGATCATAAGCACGATTCAAGACACCAAATTCTAACATGGATTCCTAACTCATCGTTCTAGACATACGAAACATCAAGAAGACTCACAAAAGCTCAATAATTCAACAACGGGACTTTAAATCATCAAATACCAAGAAGAAGGGATCACGGGGAACAAGTCCCCACAATCCCCAAACATGTTCCCCGAGGGTGGGGCCACGGCTGGACCTCCACCCGCGGGTACACCCTGCACCCAAAAATCAACATTTGCGATTTTACACTTTTAAGGCCAAGTTCAAGTCCAAATGACCCCAAATCTTCCACACAACAAAGATATGACTTGAACCTATGAATAACTCATAAAATAGAATCCAAGAACCCTAAAATACAAGCTCTAAAAATGCATTATCACAAGATCATGCATCAATCACTCAAACTCCCAAAACCCACAAGGTAGAAGATAGGTTTTGTGTAGCATGGGTTACCTCTTGTAGACCAAGAGCACCTTCTTCAACCTCAAAGCAAGACCAAAGCTCCACTAGATCAACCTAGCACTTCACCCACCACTAGATCTTCTACAAACTCCCAAAACCCACAAGGTAGAAGAAAGATTTAGAGAAAAGATGGAGGAATCTTGTAAGGAAAAGGTAGGGAGGGATAGATCTTACCATTCCTAGCCTTGTAGTGTTGGAAAGTTGGAATCTTGGTGGAAAACTATGCAAAGCTTGGAAGTTCCCTTTTTGACTTGGAGAGCAAGCTATGATTCTTTTAGAGAGAGGTTGGAGAGTTTTTAGAACTTTGGCTAGCATGAAATGAAGACAAGAGGTTTTGCTAGGTAAACATGAGCACCTTTCACTAGTGAAAAGACCAAGTTACCCTTACTAAGGTTTGGATGAATAAGGGATAGAGGTACAACACGCAAGGCACAAGATACACCAAGAAGACTAGTCAATTTCTAGTCCTTCGACTATGAAATTTCAGGATTTTAGGAAGAAATTACCAAGGCTAGGATTAATTCATTAATTAATCCCAATTAGCATTTAGATTTACGGGGTGTCACAGATATGGTTTGGATCGTTTATGTTTGTTGATGTTATCATTGCTTGAATTCGAGCAAGTAATTGCTCAAATTAATAGTTAATGTGTAGATGTACGCATGCGGTGCTGTAACTTTAGAGATTTTTATATATCATTGTTTAGGATTTTTATAAATTGGGCAAATGTGCTCATTCTCTAGCAACATAGCTATAGTAATCAAGTGTTATCCTAATTCATTTGTATAAAGGATATATTTTTGTCTAGATATATATCAATTTTGTCATTTTGGAAAAAAAATATAATTAATATCATCGATTGTATTTACACATTATTGAAAACCTCTTTGTAGACGACATTAGTAGTCGCAACAGAATCTTGTCCATCATTTTCTAGAGCTAACACCTTTAGGCCATCAAGATGGGTGACTCGGGAGAAAGCCGCGTACAATTGTCCATGATTAAAGACCGTTTTTTAGCAATAATCCAACGTGAGTTAGTGTTTGACATTGGCTTTTGTTGATACTCATGACATATGTAAGCATCAACGGGCCGGGAATTGTTTACGCTGGAACTTGAAGGACAATCTTGTATTAAAATGAGTGAGAGACATTTGAGGAATAAGAACTTTGGTTCCTTCATGTGTCCCATTAACTATTTTTGCTTCGACAATGTGATCTACCAATCTTGTGATGATGAGTCGTGTCCCGTTACAAAGACCAAGAGAGTGGTCTATGTTCCGCAATAACATAACATGTGCATCGACCTTTAATGTCAATGAATGATTATGAAGACCTGACAATATCAAACTATTTAAGAATACATGAGTGTGTATTTCTGATAGATTTTCACTGTCTAATTCTGCCTTACACAAAGAGTCACAACTTAAATATATTCGTCCTTCTGCAGTATTCATGTCGCATATTTACTGATTAATTTGATCAACGACATCTAAAGTCGGTGAGAGCATTGCTCGTCCTTCTAGTTGTGACTCATCAAGCATGCCATATCTCGAGCTTAGGAAGGTCGTGCTTTCCACTATAGTTGTGACAACCCAAAATGTTTTTCCTAAATTCCTATTTTATAAAGTTTCAAAGTAATTTTTTTTTTTTTATTTCTACGATGATTTATTTCCTAAAATTTTGAGCCAACAGTCTATTTGAGACGAACCCGTATTTGGTCTTATCAGTTTTCTATCCTAAATGATTTAATTCTTGAGCCCAAATGTGTTTAATCTAGTCCAAATGTTTTGATTGAGCCCAAATTCATTTCAAGCCTAACTCATTTATAAATAGTAACCCTATCTACATATATATATATATATATATATATATATATATATATATATATAATATATTATGAATTATATATGTATGTTTTTATGTGGGAATTTCAGCAGCCAAAAAGAAATCTCTGTGTTTGTCTCCCTCTCTCTCTATCTCTTTAGCGACCTACAGCCGCAACCTCTTCCGGCGCAGCAGACAAGGGAAATCGGTGACCCAGGGAGTCCGGCATTGTAGCCAAGAAACCGTGTACCGCCCTTGTAGATCCTCCCATTTTCGCTATTTCCTCTCCCTTTGGACGAAGAGCAGCAGCAGCCACAATATGGGGGTGGCCGGCGACATGCTCCGGCGATCGATGGCGAGGCAGACCAGCAAAGCAGGCGGTGGCTTCCTCCCCTATTTTCCGGCGAGCAAAGCTTAGCGGTGGCCTCCTCCCTTCCAACCAGCAAACAACAAGCAGACCAGGCCGTGCCTCTCTCGACAGTTCAACGTTGGCAGTTCGGCGGCGGCGGACTTGTTTTCCCCTTCTCCGACAGCGACGGACGACAGTGAAGCTTGGGTAAATCACTGATTTTGGACTATGGATTTATTAAGGTTAATAATATTTAATTACCTAAGATATTCACTAATAAGCAGTGTGGTGTTGTGGAGAGTGCTTGGGTTCGACTCTAGCTTATAACATCTTAACTTAAGGTTTATTATTATCACTACAAGAAAAACACTTTTTAGTGACAAAAACTTAGTGACGGGTGGAAAAACCCCTCACTAAATGTATTATTTGCAGGGTTAAAAATTACTCTAGCTAAAAGTTTATGATCTAGTGACGAAATTTTACTTTTATACTTATTTTAAAAGTATACTCTCGCTATTGATACTAAAGATGTTGTTACTCTCACTATTGATATCTAAAAATTATTTCCCACCAAAACTTTTTTTTTTTTTTGGAAGTAATTCCCACCAAAACTTTAATTTAGACACAGACGACTCCCCAAGTCCCCAGCCCTAACTCCCTTTCCCTAATCTCTATCTGTCACCTCCTGCCTCAGAATGAGACACAGACGACGCCAATCGCACCATCATGACCACCAAGCCCCGTCACAACCGGCAGCGCACTCACCACGACCACCACCAGCCCCCGTCACAGCCGGCGACCTTCTCCGGTTCAACAGCGTCAGCAGCCCCATTGACGTGAACCACCAGCCAGGCAGCCACTAGTTAATTTTTTTTCTTGGAATTTATTAATTTTTTATTATCATCCCAGAGTCGTCGCTTCTAACATCGCACTCATCCTCGTCTTCTTTGGTCGTTCGAATGGCTAAGAGAGAAGAGGAATTGAAGGAAATCAGAGCGAAAACTACTGAGGAAATCAACGAGGAGATATTGAACCTCAAGGGAGAGCCGTTATTGCTTCACCTCCAGATGTCTGTCCGCAGTGAATTCAAGTCCAGCGAGTTCGGCCGTATGCCCGTATGCGTAAACGTGTACTTTCTTTTCCCTCATGTTAATCCATCCACTTTCTCCATATGGCATTTATTATTGAATTTCTAAATGTGCATGTATTATGGTTTAATTAGCTTAGAATGTGAGTTTTATTTTTTTATTTTTATTATTATTTTTTTTTTGGCTGAATTTGCAAATTGAGGGTTGAACTTTTCAATTATTGGGATAAAGTGAAGTAGTAGAGCCAATTTAGAACCATGGTTAACAGTGCATATGAGTAGTCTTAATAGAACTTTGAGGAAAGAATCATAATTCGAAGTCGTTTGTATTTGTAGCATATACTCTATTAGTAACAATGTTTGTATTTGAACCAGTTCTTGTCCAAGTGTTATTTCTAGATTATATTTGGTCAGACGCCTGCTTTGTTGTGCAGCCATTCATGCAATCAAGTGTCATAGTCTGAAAAGATGTGTTCTGACCTTGCTTAATCAAAGTTAAATTGGTAACATGGAAAAAAAATTTAACTGAAAACTGATTTAAAATACCAATTTTTTGAGTTTATATCTTCCTCTTCTAAAGTGAATTTACTGAATTAGAAATTTAGAACTATTAGACATTTAGATTTTAGACATAAAGCATGATTTGGGTGATAAATTCTATTATGCCTGTCCCTTTACATTTGATTTCAGTATTCGGTAAATCAAATTTCTGAATCTTTTTTTCCTTTAATATATAAACACTTGTTTATTAGTTGTGTTCATCTTTTTTTTTTTTTTTTTTTTTTTTTTTTTTTTTTTTTTTTAAACAGTTTCATACTTTGATTTGTTCTCTCTTATGGATGCTTTATTTTTTCCTAGTTTGATTAAAGGCAATACGGCAAGATTAGTCCTGTACTAAAGAAAAGGACATCCTTTATTGGAATATATTATTTTTATTCTATGCAAGCCAAAGCTTTAACCATTGTCCCTTATGAGGGTTGTTATACCCCGTTCCTCTGTTTTCTATCTAGCAGCCTATTATACCTTAACTTGATTTTTTGTTTTAATGGAAATTAGCAGTCTCATTTGAAACATTGCTTTGACATGGTTTTTCTTCATTAATTAGGTTGCTCGAATGATGACTGTTAAATGGGAGAAAGAGCTAATTGTGGTTCCAAATATATTCTGTCAATCTGGATTAAGGCATTTTCTTTTGTTCCTCTAACTGTTACCATAATTGTGTTGCTTCCTTGTATTCTCTTGTTAAGTTACTCTCAAGTATCTTCCCGTTCTTGTTTCTTAAACTAATGAGTGTTCCAGTTCTTGAGCTGAGAAATCTGTTTATTGATTTGTGTAGAATCTAACTGTTTTGATTTGCATATGAATTGCTCCATAATCAGCTTTTGCATTGCTGTTGTTACCACAGAATATTGTACTTACTGCTTTGAACTTTTTTTAAGTTTTTATTTATCTTTGTTTTGATACAGTTTCTTTATCTATCACTTATCTTCTTCATCTAATAATTGTCTGTTAGGTTGAGGCCACATGAGAGAATGAGGTGAAGGTTTTGGGGGGTTAAAACAAGAAATTTATGACACTCTCTATTTACCACTATTTCCATCTCCTTTGCCCATATTTATTCACCAACTACTTTATCTTTTTCTTGCTGGCTGGATTGATTGGATTATTTGTCTTTAGATCTCTCTCACTATGTCTCACTCTTTCTTTCGCTCCTGATTTTTAAACAAAGCTTCTAACTTTTTTTTTTTTGCCTGCTCACATCTATGTAGATACATACACATCAACTAGCTTTGTGGTGATGATAGCAGGTCTGATGATTCATCAACCAAACCAGCAGTAAGCCTTTAATAATCAAGAAAACATGTCAAATGTCTAATGCTCTAATGTAAGTATGTTCTGTAGTAGTGATTGTGACTGCACTTTTTTTCTCCTCAATTTGGTTTACCTATTAAAAGTAATAAGATGGGAAAATACTCCTGAGAATTTTGTATTTATATTTATTGGTTTTAAGGTGAACGGCAGGAGCGTTTGATGTATAATGTCGTTAGGAACCGGATTCAGACGAGTTTCCGGTGGTGGGACTGGATTGATGAGGTATATATGCTTTTCATTTTATGATTTCATTATAAACTATGGATTAGATTAAATTATTGTGTTCTGCTTTTCTCTGTCATATTAATGTCATTTGAAGAGCTTGATTACATTAATGGAGGAAATGGGACGCTTTTGCATAAATTTTGAAGAAAGTATACTTCAAGGAAGGTCACATATCTCTGAGAAATATATCTTTGTTAGTATCATGTACATTATCTTTATTGCTTTTCATTTTCTACAGTTTCTCGATACAGGTTTCTTCCATGTTGATCGTTCATTTGGGAATTTGATACGCACTCCAAATGAAAAGCTAGATCGAACATTTTTGCTTTGGGGCTGTTTTTGTCTAAACTAAAAATGTTTATTTGTGTAGTTTCACCTTTCAAAATAGCCAACAGATACATTACTATGGCTATTTGTTAGCTATAATTAGTTTTTTTTGCCTTTAGTCTTTATAAAGTTGTGTGAAACATTTCATTTTGATAGTGATGATGAAGTCTTTTAATATATTGATGAGTTTATTTTGATTGCATTATTGTTAATATTATAAATTGTACTAATACAATATCTGTAGTTACATCATAATATTTATGATAGAAAAATTTATTACAAAAATTAATATTTATTGAGCAACAATAATATATACAAATTAAAATAAAAAAAATATTTGACAATAAAATATAATATTTAGTGACACACAAAATCTAGTAAATAGCAATATTAATGACGGTATTCTCTATCATTAAAAGGATAGATGAGAGGAAATTATGTTAGTGAATAGTTTATTAACGACGAGATTCTTTGTCACAAAAAGAATTAGTGACGGTAAATATACTATCACTATATGCTCACTAATGACGGTATCGTATCCCGTCATTAATTGTTTTTAACCGCGGAAGGTATAACGACGGGTCACGACGGTAAATTTCCCATCATTAAAAGTATTTTATGATGGTTTTTGATTCTTTAGTGACGGTTTTACCTCCTATTAATGACCAATTTTCTTGTAGTGTATCATTCTGGTTGCATTAATGTCAAGTAAGGCTTACTTAGTATTAAAGGTGAAATAAATATAAGCGCAGCACACAGTGATGTTAAAACTGACGTTGTGACACAGACGATTTATAACGCAGTTCGGACAAACAACCATAATCTACGAGGCACTTCTCAAGTTGAGAATTTGTCTAAATCCACTAAAAGCTTAATAATTAAAGTACACTGTTTAGGAAACGGAGATTACACAATATAACGATCTTTCCTATCGGACTATTGTGACCTAAACACATGTACTACTTTTCAAGGGGATTTAGGTATCTCTTCTCAATGACTCTCGTGTCTCACAATTAGATCTTGAAAGCTTGAGCCTTTGTGATTGAGAGTGACTATTTTTATAGGATCAAAAATCTTAGTTTGTGTGCGAATAGGTTTATTAATCCTAATCAAATTTGGACTATAGATCAGGACATCTTCTAGAATTGGGAAACGGTTTTTGCACCCAACATTTGACAATTCATTTGAAGTTAACAATCTCCCCCTTTTTCAAACTTTTGCAAAAACCTTGATCTTTAGAGAGGCTTGATTTCTGGCGTGTCCCCCCCTTAGTTTGATCTCGGTTTTGTTGTTCTGTTTAACAGTCAATAATAAGTAGAAATGTACTGGCCTTCTTCCTTTTGTTGAGAAGTCTCCCCCTTGATCCAATCTCTGCTTTATATATACTAAGAGAGAGTATATATAATATTCTTGTTACCAAAATAGGTCAGTTTCACAGAATGAGGACTAGCTGTTTACCTTTTGCAAAAAGGTCCTATATAGTAATAGCATAATGCAGTATGCAAATGATGACAAAAAGGAATATTTAAGGACAACGAATATTCAAGGACAACTACACATTTGTTAGCACCAGTGCATAAAAAAAAAAGGAAACAAAGAGACTGTCAAAAAGTCTGGATACTTCATATCTACATGCTCCATATTTTCATCGAGATCTTCTGATTGCCTTTCTCCCCCTTTTTTGCTAAATGTTTGCGGATGTTCAGGTAGAGTTTTCACCACCTTCTTCTTCATCTTCTTGACTTTCTTCTTCATCTTCTTGACCACCTTCTTCTTCATCTTCTTAACCTTCTTCAACTTCCATATCCTGACTTGTTTCATTATTTTCTGATTTTAGAGCTCTCAGCCATTGTTGTACTTCAGTTTTTTCTTCTTTGATTTCCATCTGTTTCCTCAATACTTGTTTCTCAGAAGCTTCTAGCTCAGACAATCTTTTCTCAAAATAATTGATCAGAGTTTGCTGGTCTGTTGGTTTGTCCTTTGGTGCCAAGGTTTTGAGATCATTTTGGTGGCCACCTTTGGTTGGTTTTACGGTTGTGTTGAGGGATTTGACTTGAACTTTTGACTTATGAGAAGTCTTGAGTCCTTGTTTTGTTAGGACATAACAGATGTGGTTTGGAAAGATAAGGGAGGCTTTTGTTCCTTTGTTCTCTGCAAGATTTGTAACCTGTGAGTAGATAAGATTTCCAAGGTCGATTTTGATCCCTTTCCCGATGTTATATTATAGATCTGCAAGGCTTCTTTTGAGTGTTGACTCATGTAATGAAGGCATCCAATTCACAAGCGCAATTTTCTGTAATACGATATACTTGCTTGTTAGGGATGCAGCTTTAATTTTGTTTTTCTCTAGACTCACATTCCCTGCTGTGAGTTCTTGATCTACCTGTTCATTTGTAAGTTGTACACTCTCCTCTCCTTCAGTAGTGTTGATGTGGTTGTTGATGATATCTGGGTTAAATTCATAAAATTTTCCCCTTAGGTATATTTTTCCATACATTGGACTGGTGGGGTAGGTGATGTCTTTGGTTAAATTGCTGTAGAATTCTTGGATTTCTCGGACAACCAGTAGGTGATTTTTTGTTAAGATTTCTCGGATTTGGTCATGCTTGTCCAGTTTGTCCATTAGAAGGACTTTTTGATTGAGAATCTTTCTTTCAATGACTTTGCTCCACAATTTTGCTGAGTATTGACTTAAGAATTTTGTGCTGTAGGGTCTAGGTAGGTTTATTCGATCATCATCAATTGTTGCCTTTTCTTTGCCCTTTTCTTTTCATTTTCCTTTGGCAGTAGTTTTTCCCTTTTCTTGGATTTTTTCAGTTTCATTTTCTGAGCCTTTTTCCGAAGCCCAGCTTACATCTTCCTCTGGTTCTTTTCCCTTTTTGATCGCTACTTTGGATTTGGCTAATCTTGGTGAGGGATTAGTGGGTTTCCTTTATGGAGGCCCGGCTCTGATTGGGAAATCATCTGGCCTTTTGGCCCTGGGATCAGCCCCTTCGTAAGTGTCTATCCTTTTTCGTTTCCTTTGATTTCTGTTTGATTCAAGATTTTGAGATTCTTCAATTTCCTGACATTGAGCTCCCTCTGTTTCTTGGTTTCTTTCTGATGACCTGTGTCGGTCTCTTTCAGGGCTATCGAGGGAGGGAGGACATGATCCTTGTTCATGACCTAGGTCACCCGTATTTGGGTCATGGTTGGGGTTTTTCCCCAAATTGGTTGTTGTGGGCATATAATCTAAGGTTTCTCCAAACAAGTCGATAGTAAGTTCCGGATTATCTAGAGATGCGGCTTGGTGTTCTTGGGTGGTCTGGAATGGTACTCAAGAGATGAGGACCGGGTCCATGATGATTCTTGAGGGGTCTTCGTCTTCAATGTGCACTGGGTTGGAGAAGATTCCAGTGCTAGAGTGAAGTGGTATAGGGCCTCTTCGAGGTAATTTTCCTTTCGCTTGATTTCGTGTTCTCACCATGTCTGATTTGTGTGGAGCTTGATGTTCGAGAGATGAGAGATGGTCGTAAGGTAGAAGACGACCACGTTTAAGCTTCTCTGTTTTCCCCCTTTTAAAAATAAAAATAAAAATAAAGACACTAAGTAATTAGATGGTGGATCGGGTTATGGGTTTTTTTAACCTGGTTCATATGGTTTTGTGCCGTAGGGTGATTGTAGAAATGACCCATCCTCATCTCCTTGATTATAAATTGCATAGTCCTATTTCGGCCCTTAATTTTGCATATCTGATCCCGTCAAGTGCTTTTGTTAGAATATCTGGTAGCTGTTTTTCTGTATTGATATGTGTGAGATTGATGATTTCATTTTCTACTAGTTCTCTTATAAAGTGATGCCTGATGTCGATGTGTTTTGTTCTTGAGGGTTGTACTGGATTTTTAGAGATGTCTATTGCACTTTTGTTATCGCAGTGTATGGTCATAGTTGTTTGATGTATTCCATAGTCTTCTAGCATCTGTTTCATCCAAAGTAGTTGTGTACAACAGCTTCCAGCTGCAATGTATTCGGCCTCAGCTGTTGATAATGAAATAGAACTTTGTTTTTTGCTTATCCAAGATACCAGATTTGTTCATAGGAAAAAGCATCCTCCTGAGGTGCTTTTTCTGTCAGCTATGTTTCCTACCCAATCAGCATTGCAATAGGCTGACAAGTGATGATTGGTATCGAAGGAGTACCATATTCCTAATTCGGTAGTTCCTTTAACATATTTAATGATTCTCTTTACTGCTTTTAGATGTTGTTAAGTAGGATTGGCTTGATATCTTGCGCATATTCCTACTCCAAAGCTTAGATCTGGCCTACTAGCAGTTAAATATAGTAGACCTCCTATCATGCTTCGATATAGGGTTTGCTCAACTTGTTTTCCTTCTATATATTTGGAGATTATTTCTGTTGTTGGAACTGGTGTTCTGACAACTTTGCTTTCTTCTAGTCCGAATCTCATAACTAGGTTCTTTGCATATTTGCTTTGTGATATGAAGATCCCACTGTCTTGTTGTTTGATTTGTAGACCTAGAAAGTAGTTTAGTTCACCAACCATGTTCATCTCAAATTCTCCTTCCATGTTAGTGATGAACTGGTTTTGTGGTGTTCAAGTGTTGACCCAAAGACTATGTCATCGACATAGATTTGAGCAATGACAATGTCTTATCCATAGTGTTTAACAAATAAGGTTTTGTCCACACTTCCTCTTTCGTAGCCCTTTTTGAGTAGAAATTCAGTGAGTCGTTCGTACCAAGCTCGTGGTGCTTGTTTTAGCCCACATAGAGCTTTGTTGAGTTTAAATACGTTTTGTGGAAAGTGAGGATCCTCCCTTGATGTTATTGGTGTATTGAATAGAGAAGCATGAACACTTTGTGAATAAGAATTATTAGAAAAGCATGAGTAGAATGTGTTGTATGTTCAATGGAATTGGAAGTCTATTTTGATGGTAAAAATATATAGAGTTTGCTATGTTGCAAACCGAGTATGATATTGTGTTCTTGAGAGTTCTATGTGATATATATGGATTTGGAGCATGTTGTACAGTATTTTTGCACTCCAAGTATATCATATTTTAAAAGTACATAAGTGGCCAACGTGAGCCTAAGTATTACTTTTAAAAATTCATGTGCATGTGGTATATCATTATCTTGTTGCATTGAGAAGTTGTTGAGTTGTAGCATGCATACGTTTGGTGCATGATATATATATATA